AACAAAACACTGGATGGATTTTTGAAAACAACTATAACACTTTTTCATCCTTGGATGAACACTTTCGCTTGGATTCCAAAAAATACGTTTTCTTATTCTTTGTTGTTCAATAAAAAGTTTTTCCGCAAAAATTGGTGTACCCATTTTATGCATCCATATTATAAATACCCCCTTGAACAACTTGCACCAATAAAACCAGACTTCATAATTATTTCGGGAAATAAGCTAATACGATTAGACTAATAGAAGTAACCTTGTGTAAAAATTTCATCAAACCCCGATGGGAACTTTCCAAGTTACAGCCAGGTCAAGGATTAGCGGACAGACAGATAGACCGACGGAACTAAGTTACACGTTTTTTCATAATGTAGATGTCATGTAACCTCCAAAAAACATAATACCTCATTTTCGATATTCTCTTCGCGATTAGATACAATATTTCGCCAGTATGATTTTTACTAGGATGTTATTCTCATCGTTTTTATGAGGTTTCTCCAAATTTTGTCCATCCATCCCCAACTCTGACTACATATTCGTGTGCAGCGGGTAAAAATACATGAGTAAATATAGTGGGACCACCAGCACAGACCGCTTTTCAGTCGACCTGCATCATTACGAACCAACTGTGGAGGTTTTTTGATATTTTAGACTTTTAAAGCACAAATACTATGCTAAATGACATAGAAAATACAACTCCGACTAGGAGTGCTGTAATTTTGAGCGTACTTTCACAAGTTTTAGGTCTACTCATAAATAGAAAGTGATTTCCACTCGAAATTACGCAAAATAGCTGAGATATCCCACTATAATGTTAAGAATGTCCCTAGTCCATACCAATCGTTGCCTACGATGCTGCGGGGTCAAAGGTAGTACAAGATGGAGACGGTATGAAAAACCTAATTCGGCGATAAACTGTTCTGTTTCGCAACTGCCGTTGTTGTGGAAAATCGATCTCTAAGTGCTAGCTGCCCCAAATAACGATCCTGTCGCTCTGTAGTCTGTCTTTGACGTCTAGTAGCTCTAGCTCGTCGATTTCGACCTTCTTGGAACCACGCTTGACAGCAGTAGCTTCATTTCGATTGACCCTATTAGCGATTTCTCTAAAACAAAACCGGCTTCACGTAATATTATTATCCGACATCCCTCATACTCGGAAAGGTGAGTGAAATTAGTGCGTCTGCGAACTCTAGGCAGGATAATGCAATGAAACAACAATGAAACAAATGTACTTCCATGATAGCAAATATACTAAGTGACATATAAATCCGAACACCCAGTTTAAATGGTTTTATTTTGATAAAATTTTGTATAAGTACTTAATGAAGCATAATAAGTAAATGATAAAAATTTCAAAATGATTGCACTGCTTTAAAGCCCTTTGACCTTTAATAATGTTTGGATGCACCCTGATGTGCTACGCGTTCTCCAACGCATGCTTCTGATCAGGTGGTCAATGTCCTCCTGTGGTATCTCATTCCAGGCAACCACCAACTCCTCTCGAAGTGCTTCTAGAGTCTGAGGAGGACGTTGCAAATTGAGCAATCTCCTACCCATCATATCCCACACGTGCTCAATTGGGGATAAGTCGGGAGATCTTGGTGGCCATGGAAACAATGTGACATCATTATGTTGAAAGAAGTCTATTGTGACTCTTGCAACATGTGGTCGGGCATTATGTTGGAAAGTTGGATCTGCCAGGGTGTCAAGATAGGGTAAAAGATGGGGTTCTAGAACTTCGTGGATATAACGCTGCGCGTTCATGTTACCTCTGATGAAGATTGAAGGTGACCTGGAACCATAAGCTATAGCACCCCAAACCATAACTCCAACAGTGTGATGAACATGTCTTTCAACAAAAAACTGTGGATTCCTCCTTTCACCACGTCGCCTTCTAACCCTGGCACGACCATCGTGCATGCCTAAACAAAATCGAGACTCGTCACTAAAGACAATACTGTTCCATTCCTGATCCCAGAGTAACCTGCACCACTCAAGGCGATTATGTCGGTGTTCTCGAGGTAAAGGGAGGACCCAGTGTGGCCGGTATGAAAACAAGCCAAAACTTCTCATTCGTCGGTAAACACTTCGCATGCCAATAGGTCTTCCGTGTTCTTCAAACCATTCATTTGTAATGGACCTTGAGGCCAATAATCTTAGGCGGCGATCTTCACGGTCTGTTGTTCTACGGCGGCGTCCAGTGCCCCTTGCTCTTTGCGTACGGCCTTCTCGAAGCCATGCCTGACAACACCTAACCACAGTGTCTACACTTCTTTGCACTCTAACTGCAATTGCCCGAAAAGAAAGTCCAGCTTCCCGAAGTCCCACTATACGGCCCCTATCAAACTCACTAAGTTGACGAAATGGTACAGGTCTCCGTACTCTAGGCATCGTAACCGATCGTAAAGGATGCCAAGAACCAAAATCCGACAACGTTGATTCTTTACTGCGGCTGAAATATTCATTTTTAGAGCGTTAGTGAATTAAAAAAAAGCAGTATAAAAGCCGGAATGTCCAACCGATAAGGCTGAACATTTTTTCACTTGTTATTTACAGTAAGATAAATACATTCACCAACTTTTATTAAAATAAAACCATTTAAACTGGTTGTTCGGATTTATATGTCACCTAGTATATGTTTACAAGTTTTATTCAAAATTCAATAAATAATTCTGGGTGTTGCATTTCATATGTCACTTAGTATATATTGAGCCCAAAACAGCTCTTTAAAACCAGCTTACTTGTGAATGATACAGTTTTATTGTCTCTTTTTAAAATAACCATCTCATTTAAGCATCACTTGAAATTTTTACTAATGAATTTAATAAATATTTCATTCGTCCAATATCTTTCAAACAGAGCAGTTTTCCGAAAATTGTTCACGGTCGAAATAGACCTATAATACCCAAATAACAACCCCTTGAATTTTAGTTGAGATGTGTCATGTTATCAACACCAGCGTCGTAATGTTGAAAAAACAGGTCATAATGATGTCCCTCGTAGAACACCGTATAAGATCAATTTCTCACTAAAACAAAACTACTGAAAGATTTCCACTTGTATGTGATATTGTATAAAACTGACCAAAAATCACTGAAAAGTTACTTCGCCAGGGCGTAGAGCATGTCCGTGATACTGATTGCAATACTTCCTTCCAAGTAAAAATCACTGTGTTCTGATACTCATCGCTTTTATCAGGTTTCTCTAAATTTTATCCATGTAACTTCAATTCTGACTAGATACAGGGTGACCAATAAGTACCACGACAAACTTAATGTGAAGGTAGGCTTTAAACTGACCTCCCAAATAACAAAAACTTACCTATATTATAACAGTGTCACCGTTTTTGAGATATTGAATTTTTTCTTAAATTTTAAAAAACTAACCTTTTCATCTGTGGTCTTTAGCTGCATGTACCTACATATACTTAATTTTTTCTATAAAATACTTCTAGATAGTTGCTTTATCATATAAAAATGCAATGTAGTTAAAAGATATTAAAAAAACATGATCAAATAAGGACTATTTTGGGATTTATAACTTTGTGATATTTTTTCCTCAACTTTGACCATCTGTGGTGAAACAAAAATGTACTGGGCTATAACTGCATTATATATAATAAAAAGATTGCTCATTGAATACAGATTTCAGAATAGAAAAAAGTGATAGCTGCTTTTGTAAGTGACTGACACACACTACAATGTAATTATTGGATTTAAATGCAAGTTGCACTGGTCACCGATCAGTGACATGCTAAATAGTGCAAAGCTACATTATTATTACCTGCTCCTGATATGATTTTATGAAAGTTGAGGAAACAATATCAGAAAGTTATAAATCCCAAAACAGTCCTTATTTTATCATGGTTCCTTAATATCTTTTAACTACATTGCATTTGTCTATGATAAAGAAACTATCTAGAAGTATTTTATAGAAAAAATGAACAAACTATAACCTTATTTGAGACCACAGATGAAGAGATTCGTTTGTTTTTTAAATTGAAGAAAAAATTCAGTATCTCAAAAGCGGTGACACTTTTATATAGGTAAGTTTTTGTTATTTGGGTGGTCAATCCAAAGCCTACCTTCTCCTTAAGTTTGTCGTGGTACTTATTGGACACACCCTGTATAAGTGATCAGCGTGTAAAAATAAATGGAAATATAGATGGGTTCCCCTGTGTTATTATTGCGAATAAATTATGGAGTTTACAGTCTTTTAAAGCCCGAAACAGTTATTTAAGACTGATTTATTCATTTTATTTTAATTGTGCGACGAGGTTTTTGAAATGAAACCAGGACAGAAAATAGGCGCAGTTTTCTCAGCAGGGAAAACGCATAATTGTAACACAAACAAGTAATTAAACAGGTCAGTGCAAATCAGGTATCAAAAATTTAAAATATATCACAATAAGTCAATTTAAAGGATATCATGTACAACCATTAAAAATGAACTCTTTAATTTTAATTTTGAAGGATTGTCCAGGCAGAGTTTTTAGTAACTGGAAGCTTTTTATATTGTAAAGGTGCCACATAGGAAAAAGATTTCTGCAGAAAGGTGTATGGTATATTTAGTATATGTAAGAGACCATTTGCCAAACAGATAAACTGAGATTTTATTATAGAGGATTGTGTGGAGAAAATAAGGGAGGTGTGCTACCCATGGTGATGCATTGTAAGTCATTTTATATCCTTAAGATACCTTGAAATTATTTATCTTCTCGAGATTTCTAAAATCTAGCGTACATGGCTGTTTTGGGCATTTTGTATTCCTGTTGAGTTAGTGGACTTTATTTTGGAATCTTAGTACAGAATATTTTTAAAATTGTAACTTTGCATGAGCGTTTTGAACAGCCCTGCGAACATACAATGTTTTCAACATCAAAAAGCCGTAAATGATGAAGAAAACAAGGACTAGTTATGAACCTTGTAGAACACCATATGAAAACAATTTCTCACTATAACAAAACTACTGAAAGATTTCCACTTGTATGTGATAAAACTTACCAAAAATGAGTGAAATGTAACTTCGCCAGAGCGAATAGTATGTTCGTAATACTGACTAAGGTATATCAAGAGCGTATTTAGGGGAGAATTTTAACGGAGTCGGCGAACTCACATCGTCACGTGTATCGCGCGATAGGAATTCCACTGGCACAGCAGTCGCCCGTTCCGACCGAGAGTTTCGTCAAGACTGAAGTTGCGGACAAGTTCCAACTCCCGATGAGCTCGATGTGGCCGACGTACACTTGTGCACTAACATTGACGTAGGTATAGGTAATTGCTGCGGAAGGCAAATACTACCAGCAGGGCCATTCTTGCAAACAAGCGAGTAGAGAACTAGTAGAATGTAGGCGTGGTCAGTGATAACGCATATAGCATTTGAAGGGTAGAAGATACTTTTTTTGAAAAGGGAAAATAAGGTACTTGTTGTTTTAAACGAGCGTATACTTTTAAATAAACTTGCGATTTGATGCTCCTAGTATACTCCAAAATAAAAAAGTAATATTAAAGGTATTTTTTTACAGACAAAAAGTATATTTTAAAAAAGAAAACATTTTTTTAATTTACACCTGGTTCCCTAATTTGAGATACTATTCCGAAAGTCCCCTTCTTTGCAGAAAGTGCAAATGAAAATTTTATTGGTAATCCCGTTACAATCTTTATGTGCCCATTTACTACAATGTCTGTATTTTGCCCATTTTTCACCCTTATCTTTGGAAAATCGACCCGTACAAAATTAACATTCAGCATCGGTTTCATGTTGCTTTCGTCTGAAGATGAATCATCCAACTCAAGGCTTCCGCTGCATTCTGAACTTGAACTGGAGGGTGACGGTATCTATCCGAATCCTTATGAGGCTTTTAAATAATCCTTACTCTTGTGTTTCCAGGCATCTGCATCTTGATACAGGGCCCTAATTTGAGATAGTTTCAAATTAGGAAAACTTGAGTATCTCAAATTAGGAATTTTCCGTTAAAAAGTTTACACAAGCACATTTAGGTTATATACCTAATAAAATTACGATATTGTAAAAGAAATTAAATAAGGTATTAATAAACTACTAAATTTATATCAGACAATTGTTATAAATAACTAACCTTTCTCGCACTATTTTTTTTTTTTTGACGGCGTCAACTTCTCTGGTTATTAGCCGTATTCAATAATATATAAATATAATATATAAATCTAAAGTATAAAATATATAATCTCTTACATGTCTAAGTGGTAAGTGTCGCATTTTTAAAAAACTAACTACGCAAATTCCAGATATTAATCGAAAAGGATATACTATTGTCATTTACTTTCAGATTCTATTAGCAACAAAAGATAATCTCTGGGAAATGTTACACGACTAAATTTGTCAGGCATATATTCATTAACATTAATTTTTTGTTTTTTTTTTGTGGTCATTATCTGCATTTCACGATCTTGTTTGCGTTCACGTAAGTATTTCGATTTATCCAAATTCTATTGTTACATGTTTCTTTTAGTTCAAGATGACAATACTAAGCTAAGGTAGGTATGATGCAAAATCATCGTTACATAACATTCATTTATTTTCAGTTGAGAATAAGATACACAAAAATTAAAATGGTTCATTTCCAAAAAGTTCATTAGGTCAGATCTTCCAATAGAAACCAGATACTTTTAAGAATGATATGACGTTTTTCAGTTTTTCTGGTTGTGTGAGAATCTCTGTCAGGTTATCAAATGGTCCATAGATCACTCGATATTGCGACAATATCGGACATGTGCAGATAATGTGGCGTACAGTGAGTGAAGAGTTACATCCAGTGCACAAGGGCGGATCTGTTCCGAGCAAAAGATGTGCATGTGTAAGACGTGTGTGGCCAAAGCGTAAGCGATGTATGCGCACCCATTCCTCTCGTGGCAGTCTGATAGGATGTGGCCATAATCCTACACTAGGTTTTATCTGTCTTAAGTGGGTATCAGTGTTACCCCATGTAATTTGCCAGTGTCGCTCTATACGGTTTATGAGGTAGTTTTTATGATCAGACATTTTTATTTCAGGGATGTCGATGTTTTGTTGCGCTGCTGCTGCTTTCGCTGCCATATCAGCAGCTTCATTCCCCTGTATACCAACGTGTCCTGGCAACCACAGAAATTTTACGTTTACCCCTTTATTTAAGAGATGTTTGACAGTTTCAAGACACATCACAGTTAAGGAATCTCGAGATGCATAGTTCATTAGGCCTTGAAGTGCTGAGAGCGAGTCACTAGCTATAATAGCTGTTGTTATGTTATTCGACATGTCACAGTATCGTAGGGCCTGCCAAATAGCATATTGTTCAGCAGTAAATATGGATGCTATTGGTGATAGTGTCCATTGCACTATTAAAAATATTTTTAACTCTCAAGAAGTAACAAGTTGTGATGTCACAGCAAACCATGTGCAAAACTAAACTATAATCACATGTCCTGTGCACTGCGTTTTAGTTTACAACTTTTTGGTATTACTAGAAGATGGTGCTACAAAGATACAAAGTTACACCACTGTCTTAAATTAGGCGATTATCTCAAATTTAGTTCCTTTCCTCTACAGGCAAATAACAGGAAATGTCCTAATGATCTGATTTTGAGAAAAATGCCATTGAAAGTTTGAAAGTGTATTATTTTTATTGAGATCAAAGTATGCAGTAAGTTTTACTTAGAACTAATTAGATGTTTTATATCTAATATAATTTTGTTATTGACATTGGACGTTTTAATTATACTAAGTATACTTAAATGGTTTTATTTTAATAAAATTTTGTATAAGTACTTAATGAAGCATAATAAGTAAATGATAAAAATTTCAAAATGATTGCACTGCTTTAAAGCCCTTTGACCTTTAATAATGTGTGGATGCACCCTGATGTGCTACGCATTCTCCAACGCGCCTAAGCATGCTTCTGATCAGGTGGTCAATGTCCTCCTGTGGTATCTCATTCCAGGCAACCACCAACTCCTCTCGAAGTGCTTCTAGAGTCTGAGGAGGACATTGCAAATTGAGCAATCTCCTACCCATCATATCCCACACGTGCTCAATTGGGGATAAGTCGGGAGATCTTGGTGGTCATGGTAACAATGTGACATCATTATGTTGAAAGAAGTATATTGTGACTCGTGCAACATGTGGTCGGGCATTATCTTGTTGGAAAGTTGGATCTGCCAGGGTGTCAAGATAGGGTAAAAGATGGGGTTCTAGAACTTCGTGGATATAACGCTGCGCGTTCATGTTACCTCTGATGAAGATTAAAGGTGACCTGGGACCATAAGCTATAGCACCCCAAACCATAACTCCAACAGTGTGATGAACATGTCTTTCAACAAAAAACTGTGGATTCCTCCTCTCACCACGTCGCCTTCTCACCCTGGCACGATCATCGTGCATGCCTAAACAAAATCGAGACTCGTCACTAAAGACAATACTGTTCCATTCCTGATCCCAGAGTGACCGTTGTCTGCATCACTCAAGGCGATTACGTCGGTGTTCTCGAGTTAAACGGAGGACCCAGTGTGGCCGGTATGAAAACAAGCCAAAACTTCTCATTCGTCGGTAAGCACTTCGCATGCCAATAGGTCTTCCGTGTTCTGCAAACCATTCATTTGCAATGGACCTGGTAGTGGAGAAACGGTCCCTTAAGGCCAATAATCTTAGGCGGCGATCTTCACGGTCTGTTGTTCTACGGCGGCGTCCAGTGCCCCTTGCTCTTTTCGTACGGACTTCTCGAAGCCATGCCTGACAACACCTAACCACAGTGTCTACACTTCTTTGCACTCTAACTGCACTGCAATTGCCCGAAAAGAAAGTCCAGCTTCCCGAAGTCCCACTGTACGGCCCCTATCAAACTCACTAAGTTGACGAAATTGTACAGGTCTCCGTACTCTAGGCATCGTAACCGATCGTAAAGGATGTCAAGAACCAAAATCCGCCAACGTTGATTCTTTACTGCGGCTGAAATATTCATTTTTAGAGCGTTAGTGAATTAAAAAAAAGCAGTATAAAAACCGGAATGTCCAACTGATAAGGCTGAAATTTTTTTCACTTGTTATTTACAATAAGATAAATACATTCACCAACTTTTATTAAAATAAAACCATTTAAACTGGGTGTTCGGATTTATATGTCACTTAGTATATTAAACATATTTAAATTGAATAAAAACCAAATGAAACATTTTCAAACAAGTAAAACACATGAAATGTTCAATTCAGTTATCAGGATTCTTGGTCTTTGAATCATATTCTAGTTTCCTACTGTCTCTTAAACTGTAATGACTCAATCTTCCTTTAAATGAGTTAATATGATTAAAATCTTTTTCTTTAATCTCTGATAGAATACAATTTTTTACGATTTTCATGCTCTCCTCTTTGATCTACTGGATCTTTTTCTGTTCTTTTCATGAGTTTTTGTAGATATTCAACCTTTTCTTTGATAATTCTGCAATGAATGCTAAACATAGAGGCACATCTTTCGTAACATTATTGTTGATATCTTCATCTTTTACCTTCACTATATAGATATATGAAAATTAGTCTCATCTTCAAATTTCCTGCTTACTGTTCATTTCACATAGTCAGCATTTATAAGCCCTGACAAATATGAGTTCTGCTCACTGACACTGCCCAATGAACTAAAATACTCATTCGGTATTCATATTTCTTTGATTATTTTCATTTATATTTTCAAAACTTTTGAACCTTGAACAATTACACGGTACCCCTTGTTCATGACAAGAAAGTCGCAACTTGATCATTACATCTTCTGTTCAATCAGTTTTCTTTCTTTTCTTTGTTGATTTGTTAATAATACTCTGATTATTTTCATCATTATCTAAATCAGAAAACATATTAAATTTCAAATAATTATACTGCAAACTTCTAATCTCAAAATTACAATTGTCATTTTGGACAATCCTTCTTCTTTGCCGGTATGGCATGGACATTCGTAGCCCTTTTCGTTTCGTCCATGAACAAAAATGCCTTTTTGGCGCCATCTGCTTACTTATTTTAAAGGCTAACGATTGGAAATTAAAATATCAAATACAAGGATTTGCTTCCAATGGGAAACTAAAAAAAATTAAAAATTGAGACATTCCCTATTCTTTGCCTGTACCCTTCATTTATGAGTCAAATTCACTGTATAACTGTGCTTGTGCGCGCCAGAAATCTCATTGAAGAAGTACAGCGTTGGGCAACTCGAATCCCATCTGGAGCTCACAGACCCATTTTTTTATAACGCAAAGCTGTGGATTG